AAAAAAAAAAAAAAAAAGTTGGCCATTCAAACACCGTCGTCCCCTTTGTGCGGGTTACAGGAAGGACAACGGTGGCAACGCGGCTACGAAAGTGAAGTCCGACGACGACATTCAGAGGTGGAAGAACGTCGGAAAAAGCTGGTTCTCCAGCGGCAATGGCTTCCATGGCGGATATCGTGTCGCTGGAGAGAGATCGACGACGACGTGGACCGAAGTTGCACTGCTGCCGTGGGGAGACACGGTTCCACCATGAACAGTCGGCGTGAGTTTTGTCTAGTCGGTGGTGGAGAGAGGGAGAGAAAGATTTGAGCGACAGAGAGAGATACAAATAGATACAGAGAGAGATAAAAAGTGAGAGAGAGAGAGAGAGTTGTCCGATATTGGAGTGTCTGTGTGTGTGGGGCGTTATGTCATGTGTTGTAAATGTGTAATGTCCAGTTTGCCCTTAATTACACATTTGACCACAATGTATGTTAATTTACCATATTGTCATTAATGATTGACTAAATTTTGACTGATCATAACTATTGATATCATAGATCTAATGACACATATTCATTCTTATTTCTTTCACTAGATATCATTCTCATATTATCCCTTACCTATATATATATATTATTAAAAAAACAATTGTTTATAAGATTCTAAAGTTATTTAACTCTACTATTAAAATAATTTACTAATTGTTTTTAAATTTGTTTTTATGAGATACAAAAGAAAAAGATAATATTGATGTTAAAATACATAACTTGAAACAATTCTTTATAATTATGTAATTTATATTTATTGTGAATTATTATTAGTTGTTATTAGCAATAATTATTATATAATATAATAGAAACATACATGATTACACTCGTTAAGATGTATTAATGTGATAAGTAAAAAATATTAATGACAAATTTTATAACCGAAAATGGAAGGAAAATTTTAGAGGTTCTATTAAATAGGTTTTATTAAATGCTACATATCAGCAATTATATATATATAGATGCTTAATTACTTTGTGCCTTTGCAAGTATGGAATCAGAGTACATATTTTTTTTAAGTTGAACTTTATTTTTATCCGTTTGGCCTGGTCCCGAATCGTTTTGTCCCGGACCCGATTGATACCGATCCGTTTGGGACGAGGTCTCGTCCCGGACAGTTCCCGGACCGGTTCAGAAAAAAATGGGACATGTATCGGGATAGGGCAAATTCAAGACCGTCCCAGACCGCGCCCACCCCTACTCCCTTGTACATGATCTCCTCTTTCCAGTTCATGCTTCATAATAAATGGTTTATCTCCAATGACATCATATACACTCAACCAAAATTGCTCCTTTATAGATTTCATTTCATGCACAGCTAAAAAAAAAAAAAAACAATGGCCCTGACAACTGATAGTGATACTACATACATCACATGTACACTCCCGAAAACCGCCCGACTCCATATGATCATCAATTACCCGGCCTTGCCTGGAAAACCCTCGTGTACCACAGTGAATGTAACACCATGTGGAAAACATCATGCTCAACCGGCGTATTGTGCCACAGAAAATGCTTCTGCGCCCGCCTCACCCTCTCCTGCATCTCCACATACCTTTCGTCGCTAATCGACAATAGTATGCTCTTCAAATTCGGAATATCTCTCTCCAACACAAAAACCGCAAACGACTCCCAATTAAGTGTCTCGAAAAACGGGGGCACATAATTGTCCGATATTATTACAGGAACACACTCGTAGAAAATGGCCTCCACGACACGTGGGGTGTAGGGTTCATACCCTTTTGCGCTTATGCAGTATTTGCTGCTTTTCATGTACTGAGCATAAGCGTTTTGACTGCTTGACTCGTGTATCTTCCCGAATATTTTGATGTCAGGGTCTTTGTTCTGCCAGTGTTGCAACAGAATGGGGCGGAGGTATCCGTGCATTTTTCCACCAAAAAAGGCTAAGATGGTCCTTTGAGAGGGGGGTTTGCCGCCAAGGTTTTTGAGAGGGTTTTTGGCGTGCCTTACGTAGGTTTCGGGTAGTGATACATCCTTTCCGAATTTGAATCCTCCCTTGGCATCAGCATTGCATAACGACCTAATGCAGTTCTTCATGATCCGGCTCGTCTCGGCAGGTGCCTATGGCAACAACACAAATGAAAAGTATTTCTCTAAAATGTGCTTTAAGAGTGTTCAGAATTGACATTAAAAAAAGTAGGAGTGATTACGAGAACACCCTTGACGTTTAGTCTAATAGCACAAATGCCACTTATAATTTATTTTCTTTTTTATGAATTGGATTTAATGGGGAATTTGAAAATTTGAAAAAAAAAAAACAAATTGAATTTTTTGCAATCAGCCAAACTCAGGGGTACTTGGTGTAATTATCCATTAAAGGCATACAGTTTTGACATTTGGTACACTTGACAACAAAATTTACTGATAAAGATTACAATGAGGGGAAATCATATAAAGACTGAGAACAACATACCCAATCATGGCAGGCCACAAGAAAATGGTCGGCCCCACCGGTTCTATTCCAAAAACGATACGTGGTCGTGATCTTCTGAAGGTAACGACTCAAATACTGAACCAAGTTCTTGCGACTGTGAGAATTAGGGACGTACAAAGTCTCCTCCAACAGTCGCGAGCTAAACGGCAGGTAAAAGAGATGGGCTTTGTCGGGATTCTTAGTCACAAAGTGCTTATTTTCTTGGAGCTGCTTCATGAACCATCCCTCGGAAGCATATATGCCCTCGAGTTCGGGCTGGTGGAATACGGGCTTTTCTCCTTCGGTATAGATGTAAATTTTAAGAGTCTTCTTCATTAATTCATAACTCCTACATAGGACGATACACAACTTTATACTGAATGAATTCGTGAAAATGATTGAAAAAATGTAAGTAACCACTGTGCATTCATAACATGTTTTTCGTTGGTATGAAAACAAATAGAAGATTTTTCAGTGGCAGACCAAACAGTTGTACGAAAATGATAATTACTGTAAAGAAGCATATAAACCAAGGGTATACATACCGACAACCTAATAAGAAGATGAGATAATGAGGTCCACAAAAATCTTGAACAAATTACTACCTTGTAAACTCAGAAGAATTTCTATACACATTATCATCAACTTGAGAATTCTTTTCAATCATGCTAGCACCTTCAATAAGCCTTCTTGAGTTCAGTAGTTCGTTGTCCACTTGCAACGGCCACTTAGGTTTCTGAGCAGAGAAAAATAACAAATAAATAAATAACAAAAATCAGCTTTTGCAAGAATATATATCCAGTTTGGGGGCAGGGTGGACCTGCAATCAAGTATATTTTTTCAATTTGAAAAGAAAATACCATAGCCCGATAAGAAGCACGGCTCTGAAGAAACGCATTGTTCATTTCCGATATCGGCACAACTACAGCTGGGGGGCCCTTGAACCTTGTCTTCTTACCAGTTGATTTAATAGCAGTTGAACTATTAACAAAACCGGACGTGTTGTTTTTAACATGCCCACGTTTTTCGTCATTCAAAAAAATGTCTGCTGGATTCTTTCCTGTCGAGCTCGTACTCTGGGATGGTATGCTCGCACTCCCATTCGTTGTCACAAATACTGAGAAATTTCTTTCTGAAGTATTAACATAAATCGAGATTGGCAGAGCCATTTCTAGCACCAAGCTCTTATTGCTAAAGACACTCTCGACGGTCATGTTGTGGTTCGTTAAACTGAAGCTTCTGGTTGAAGAGATGTTATTATTGCTGACAACAGACGTATCCGTTTCTGAGTTGAAACGATTTAACGTCGCTTGAGATTTAGCGAAAGAAAGGAAAGACGAGAAAATGTATCCATATGGGAGTTCAAAATACTGAACTAACAAAACTAGTGAAAAGACGAATGCCATAAGCCACAGCAGCCTCTTAGCCTCCATTCATACAAATCAGAGGCCGCTACTCAAAAAAAAGCCAATAGTCGAGTTGAGCAGATTTTCGCTCTTTTTTCATTGCCCTGAAAAGTGTCTGCAGAAACAAAGTAAAAGATTTGGAAAATTCCACTAATTCTCAGCAAATTACACGAAGAACTACCGTTGCACAAAAATATCAACAAGAAGAGAAAATCATGATGCTAAAGCTATCAGTTATCGAGTATTTAGACACGAATTGCATAAGCAGACTTAAAAATCGGCCACCTGCGACGACAAATCAGTAACCCTAATCCAAGAAACAGAGTAAAATCCCCAAAATTTTGAAAAAAAAATAAAGAAAATGACAACCATAAGATACCAAGTGATGTCCAAACAAAAAAACTCACAGGAAACAATACAGCATAATTAAAAGCATGGAATCAAACTTACTCATAGAAGCCAAGTTCGAAGCTTACCAAAAGAATGTGAAAAGCCGAGTTGAGAGAGAGAGAGAGAGAGTTCGCCTAGAAAACGGCACATGCATGTGATGCTACTGTGTATGCGCCAGATAAGTCTGGGAAAACGTTTACCTGTTTCGGTGCATATTTTACAATCTGGCTTTGATTTGAGTTGGATTCTTTTGAGCAATAAGATGAATGGCCTTTGAAAATTTTCACATTAAGAAATGGAAATGTAAAATCTTTAATGTAGCAAACAAGTAGCCCATTATAAAATATACATTCTCTTCAATCAATGAGCACGGCTTTTGCAGTGTGGGCAGCCATTATTTATTGATTTTATTGAGAATCAAAGGGAATTAACACAAAAGGAGTAACAAATATACTTATTTAGTAGCCGTACTATTTTGCATCAGCATTGCCCACCCGCAGTTCCTTTACGATCTTCTTTTGGAATAAACACTAGGACTAGGACCTAGGCTGCCTCTTCACTATATATTTCCTTGTTATATACACCAACTTCACTGCGAGGTGAATGTTTTTTTTTTTTTTTTTTTTTTTNNNNCATTATAACTCTAAGATCATCTTTAACCATTAAACTTTCTTTTTAACCATATAAACATTCTTTTACACTTTGACACATCATCCAAGATCTCACTCTTACTCCTACACCCATAAATCTTCAATAATAATAAATTCCATAAACTTACTTTTTAACGGGTCCTACATGTTTTCACATTTTAAATTAATATTATACTTTTGAGAGAGAGAGCTTTGTCGTTCTTGTGGTCCTACTCGACTCGATTCCGCATTAGTCGGTTCTCCTGTGGATTCAGAAACCGAAGGGCCCTGTATCAAAAAAAATTAATATTATACTCTAATATTTTAAGTATACAACTTAATTTTTTATTTTAATTCAAGCTAAATGTTTAATATAATTATCACATATACATAAATATAATAATTATATATAATTATAATATAATTATCTGATAAATATATATAATTATAATATAATTATCCGATAAAAATAATTATCATATAATTTTTATTCAGTATAACATACTAATAAACATGTTAATTATTTAAAAATAAATAAAAACTAAATATAATATTTTTAAACATAGCACTAAAATAATAAATATTTATTACAAATATTAAATTAAAAACACACACACAAAAAAAAAAGAAGTTTTTAAAACAATAAACAAACGAGAGGTAGTGGCCACGTCAAATTTGCTTGTACATGGTGGGCCAGGTGGTTTGGCAACTCCTTCACGCTCGCATGTAGTAAATGTTCTTTTATTGAATTGAGTGGTAAATTGTGTGAAACTCACGCTCTTATTCATATCTATGCATTTTATTTTCGTGTACTTTTATATTGAGGTTTAAGTGAGGTTTGGATTTGTAAACCAGGTTTGGATTTGTAAACCTCAAACGCATATTTTATAATGGCGAAACCTGTAAAGTGAGGTTTATAAACCTCTCATGAACATGTGGTCAAAGATGCTTTAAGGTATAATGGAATCAATTGAAGAATAAAATGATTATGGAATGGAATGAAACAAGTTTTTTCGTTGATACGTTTGGTATGAAGAAGGAATAAGACATGAATGAAATGACATTATTATTTTTTATTATAAAAATAAATAAAAGTTTTTTAAAAAAATAATATATTTTAATAAATTATATATAAATGCTTTTTTAGTAATATATAGAAATAAAATATATATTTTTAAAAATATATAAAAATAAAAAATATATTTTAAAATTATATATAGTAAATAATATATTCTTAAAAGTAATATATTTTTAATATAAAAATAAAAATTATATATTTTTAATAAAATATATTTTTATTTTTTTTATTTAACAATAAATAAAAGTAAGTTTTCAAATTTTTATTTGAATTTTATTTTTTAAAATATAATATTTTTAATAATATATAAAAATAAAAGTAATATATTTCTAATAATATATATTTTTAATATTTTTTAATATTATATTTTTCAAAGTAATATATTTTATACAAAAATAATATATATTAATTATATAAAAATAAAATAATATATTTTCAAATTATATATAAAAGTTTTTTTCTAGTTTTATTTTTATAAAAGTATTTAATATATCTAATTAAACAATAAATAAAAGTAAGTTTTCAATATTTTTATTTGAATTTTATATTTTAAAATAATTTTATTTAATATATTTTAATCATTATTTATAATATATATTATATATTTATTTTTTATTATTATTTGTTAATTTTATTTTTTGAAAAATTGATTCCTACACACATGGGAATGAGAAAATCTTCCATGAATTATGGAATGACTAATCCCATGGAGATGGGTTTTGTCATTCCCATTGGAATGGTCATGTAACACCCCACTTTGATTTTAAAGAAATTCCGGACTTTTCAAAAATCAGTACATAATTTTTCGAACTCGTTTTCGTAAACATGGGTGTTATTCAAACATTTAACATCAACCAAGTCATATCTGGTTGTTCACATGGTTTTCATTAACCTTTAACACATCAATTCCACATGATTATTAGCTAAACAATATAGCATGCATAATCGAAAACATGTGATATTCAATAAATAACTCCAATACGAATATCTAAACAAAAAGGTCCAATAATCCCAAAAAGGACAAGTTTTGAAGACAGTTCAACACGTCTCAAGGACCACACTTTATTCATAATGGAAGCATAATCATAAAACATAAATCAAGACCGACCCACTCGTCTTCTCCCGTCATCCGGCACCTGCTTAACCTGCATCCGTGAAGAGCAGGTGGGAGTGAACACAAATGAACGTA